CATTCCGTTTGATATCAAGAACTTAAAAGGCAATAAAATGGATCGATCTTTAGAACTGGAGTTAAAAAACGAAAGTTAATGATTCGTTTGTTCGTTTCCGATTTGGAGTTATTCGACAACAACGTTGTATTAAATTAAATATGAATTTTGCATAAGCAAAAATTTTTTTGAAACAAATAATTTTAAACATACTCCGTCCTGATATGCCGTCCATTAAGAATACGAAAAGCCACTTTGAATGAGTTTGAAAAATTTCTATCCATCTTCTCAAAAACAAAAATAGAAAATTCAGTTTGTCTTTTTTTTTTAGCTTTTGAGGTGACCTTGTGACCTTTGGGCTAACTTTTGAGCTGAAAAAGAACTATAATACTAACTATTTTTCGACATATCCACTAACACCTGATGCTCATCCTCGATTCCTGGTTTCAACTTGAGCTGCCTGCTGAAACTGGACAGTTCCAATCCCAACACTTCGTCTAACACAAGTGTAATGAATGAATTTTCAAAGCTCTCATGGCATTTGATATATCTGACCATACTGCTGGCAATTGTGACTGAAGTGGTCTTAGAATCCTCGCCTCCACTTAGCGATTTCGGGCAAGTAATATCACATCATTTTTCCCTTCTGAGAGGAGCGCTATCATTGCATGCACAAATTTCAACCCCTCCGGGGGTGTGTATATCCCAGGCTCGGGGATAACAAGAACACTGGTTCGGGGTTATCTTCTGGAATCCGCCTTCTTTCAATACGTCAACAATTTCACCTATGGACTCCAGAACGTCCTTGATTGCAGGCCATACAGCGAAAGCGTTTCATTTTTATCAAATGTTTCTTGCTTTCTATTAGAAAAAAGCGTAAAATTTTGTTATTAAAAAGACAACTGCAGAAAAATGAACAGGAAACTTTCAATAGTAAATTTTCAATGAAACTAATGGTTTGTGGGGTTGCTAATGCGACTGTAGGCTATTGTAACACTGACAGATATTTTTCTTGAGTGCAAACTTTTAGCAAAAAATTTGCAAAGACAATTTTTTAATTATCTGCAAAAACGTATCAATTTACGAAATTGTGTTTTTTTTCAATGTGGCAACAATCAAAAAAGACAAATCATTTTTACCAAGATCAAACCAGAATCAAACGAAATTGATTGATCTCAATAATAGAATCATTTAATCAACTTGCATCGAACGAAAAGGTGGAAAACAAAACAAAAGGTGGATGTGCTGGATAGATTTTCTTGGAAGTGTTTTGACGCCGAAGCCAAGACGTAATTTTCAGATATGATGCAACAAGTAAAATCTAAACGTCAAAGATTTTTGCCGAATCAATGTCTAGTTGGTCATTTTTTACGAAGGTAATTAATAAAACCTTTCCGTTGGGTTATCTTCTGGTTTCTTTATCTCCAAAAGTTGGAAATTTACTAATTGGACAGCGTATTCTAATTTAATATTTCAATCAAATCTTTAATCTTGCATTTTTCATGTAGTTTTTGAGAAAATGAGTTTGGTGGAAAAACTGGTCAAAATCTCAAAAATTGAACGATTTGCAAATGTATTGAGTTTTCACAACAAAAACTAGATAGGATAGCCCGTTTAGGAGAATCAACTTATGCAGGAGATACGTTGAGAAACTGCTAATCCAATTGAATCGTTAATCTTCAATTTGGCTCGGTATTTTTCCAGAAAATTCAAAAAGGTTCCACAAAAGTCATGTTTTTTATTGAAACCGTTATCCAAAAATTGGCAGCGTAATTTTTATGAAAAGTAAAAAACCTTCCTAAAAACTTTCACAACTTCAAAAACCGGACGTTTCATAGGGCCTTATTTTTTTTCTACAAGAAAAGGGCAAAACCTTTACAGCGAGAAATATTTTTGAAATGTTTTTTTATCGATCGAACGATTTAGGCTAAACTAGGCAAAATACTTCAAAAAAAAAATAAAAAAAAATTTCGAAAAGAAAACAGTTACATATAGAAAAAGTGGGCGTTCTCTAAGGCTATAACGGTTATGCAGAAAAAAATACTATCACTTGTACTTTTTTTGACTCTTGTGTCTCATTTGTAGCAGAAAAATTTAAAATAGAACGTAAAAATTTTCTAAGCCATCATCAATTTGCAAACTTTTGGCACCTTCTATCGCCCAAAATACTTTTTATAAAATTAGAGCGCAACGGTTTATGCACTTGATACTCAAAACAAGCTTTCATTGATTACTTGATCTCACAATTGGCTAGGTTAACTTGTGAGAAATTGAAGCCCAGAAACAAATCATAAAAAATCTTCGAAGTGGGGTAAGTGAATATCAATTATGGTAGAGTTTGCAGGAAAAGGGAGAAGTTGGTTTGGTTTTTCCAATGAAAAGTCAAAAAGTTTCCTAAAAACTGTCAAGTTTTTAAACACTTCTTACCAGTGATGACCATTTATAATCATAATTTAAATTATGAGTAAATTAATCATTTAATTTTTAATTTTTAGTGTTCCATAATTCAAATTGCCAATAATTTAAATTGATCATTTATAGTCAGCAAGTTTATGAATGGTCGTTGTAGCGACTCGGCGGATTACATTAGCTGCTCGCCGAGCGAGATACATGTACATCAATTAAACAATCGTCAGCCAACCAGAAATGAGCTGGCGTGTTTAATAGTGCGGCTAGCTTGCTCGAAAGCATATCATGCGTACTGTAAAACACTTAAACTCATTCGTCGTTGGCTTAACGTTATTAAACCGTTACTATTAACCGTCTCGTTGTTTATTCGACGTTTTACAGCTTGTTACATCTAAGTGCATCAACTTGAAACTTAGTACACTAATTTATTCACAGTTTTTAGACTTTTTGAATACCTGCAATCAGAGGAAAACCAAAATCAAAAGAAAGAAAGTTTCCGAGCAATATTTTGACAAAATGGCGTGGAAAAACATTATAAATGTAAACTTTGTGACATAGAACTTCCAGGAATGGTCGAAGTGAACTTCCTTTCAAATGGCCAGTCCCATTTCAGAGCGAAGCATCGGGACAATTTCGATTCTTTCTTGGTATCATTAGAGAACGGTCAAATGCGGATTTCAGGAACTGGAATAATGGTAAATTTGGAGAAAAAAAGCGCCAAGAAGTGAGCATGGCTTTTGCCCAGTGCCTGGCAAAGTGACAATTGTAACGCTATCATCGCTGCTTTCAGAAAGTTTCACCACGAAAATAACGAGTCTATTACCGAACGAGATGAAATTCAAAATATCGGCGTATGTTTTGTTGGCTGCGGTGCTCACAGACTCAACAACACAATTCAAGACGCAGTGAAGGACGTACTATTTTTCCGACAACTAAATTCATACTGTAAAGAAAAGTGTGGTCCAGGGCTGTGTACAACCAGATGGTACGGTCATTTTCGGCAAGTTGAGTTTTGTATCAAGAACATAGACGATTTCAATGCGCCTATTTCTTTGCTAACCAACTATGATAAGTATTCTGCGCTAAATGGTGTCGTTCTGCAGCAGTTCGTCAAAGTGCTCAACCGTTTGAGAAATTTGGGCAAGTTATTTGAAGAGGAAACCGCTCAAGCTGACCAGCTGGTTCCAAAATGGAGAAAAATTCAACTTTATCTCAAAAATTTGTTAGATTTACCTTGCCGTGGTCCAGTCAAGGTTTTTGTTTGACAAGTAATTCAATACATGGACCAAAAAAAACGGTTTCAGTCTTTTCCTGATATTTTATTGACTGCAGCAATATTGAATCCGTCAAAAACGTCTAGAAATAGTCTTACTGAGCTAGAAACTGTTATTCATGCAGCCAATGTGATGCAGTTTTCCAGTCGAACTAATGAAAATGTCCAAACTATCATTCAGGAGGTCAATATATCCACTGATATGTTCGATCAAGTTTTTGAAAATGTTAGTTTTCACGTCGCATCTAACAATATTGTCTTTCCGCATAGTATTGAGTCAGAATTGAAGGAATTCAGAGAAACGGTTGATGTTGAGATGACTGCTTATGATTTTATCCACAGAAACAGGGCAGTGTTCAAAGAGTAAGCCGAAGTCGCTAGAAAAGTTCTCAGTATTTCACCATCACCAGCATGCGCTTAGCGTGGTTTTTCAAAAGCTTCATTCTTAAACGAAGATAGAAAAAATCAGCTGAAGATGTGTAATCTAAAAAGAGACTAATTCTTTTTGGTTCTGACATATAAATTTGAAAGAATTTTAATTCTCTGACTTTTTTGTCAATAATTTAAATTGTAGCAATAATTTATTGTAATATAAAGGGTCAACACTGCTTCTTACAGCTCTGGAAAACTTTCTGCAAAAATTAGGACAATGAAACTTGTTCAGAAGGTTGAGAAAATTCATAAAACATCTTTTTTGATTGAAAGCTCAATCTTGATTCTACCAGGAAAGTTTTTGAGAAAAGTATTAAAATTCCAAAAAACAGTCAAAAATCTACACATTTTTCCGAAACCTTCTTTCTCTGAACCCATAAAATCAATAGCGTTGAAAGTTTTTTCGAAAGCTCAGTTTCAGAGATGGCAAGGTAGTTGTTGAGAAAAAGAAAAAAACTCCAAGAAAAATTGATCAAAACTTCATCCTCAGCTGATTAAATTGAAGGCCGTAAAAATTTGAGTGGGGCAAAAAAAGAGGCTAGCGGGTTATGCAGGCATGCATGAAAATAGCCGGCCTTTCCATTGGTATAATCGGTGACATAGTTTGTGACAAAGAAATTTCTCATATAAAGTGAAAAAATAATTAAACAAAACTCCTTGCACTTTCGAAACAAAACTCTTTACACATTCGTATTACCTGATATTATTAAACAGAAATTTATATCGCTCAAAAGCTTTTTTGATCGTTGGTAGGTGAGAAGATTTAGTGCAGACCAAAAACTTAACGATTACACAAGAAGAGAATGCTTGATAGAGAATGAGAATTTGGTCAAAAAATTGACCGATGCCCGATATGAAAACGATTATAAACAATTATAAACTTGACTGACTTCGAGAGGTTCAAAAATCCAAATAAGTATAATAAATTAAAATTTCATTGCAACGAATACACAATTTAAAAATGTTAATTGTCAACATTATAGCACCTTCTGAAGTTTAATTCTAAAAAATTGAAGTACAAATATAAAAATTCAAGATAGAATCTCATTTTTTTGGGAATGGGCAAACTGTGTTTGTTCATTATCTTGACTTCCGGATGTGAAAACTTTAATAGAAAACAGGAAACTCTACACGTATGACTCCCTGTGCGGATCACTTAATGGCGGACTTGGAATATAATTCGAAGTGGGCGGCGAAATTCGCTCGGCTGTTTGCATGTGCCAGTACTGGTCTGGATGTGGCAACATACCAGGCGTCCGGGTAAACTCGTCGTCATCCCCTCGAACACTTTCGTCAGTGACCGATTTGCTACTGCTTCCTTGGGCGGCGAAAACTTGAGCGGCCGCTTTTTTGATCTCCATTGTCTCGCCAAAAATGATGGCGCCTTGCGAACCTTGGGATCCGAGCGGGCTGTTTCGATGTATGATCGCCATGTCTTTCGAGTCGTACCCTATCGACTCGGGAATCGCATGGCCTGAATGCCCGTTTGAGTCAAAATGGCGATAGGGACTCTCCATGCTATGTCTGCCTCCGTTCAAGTGTGAATGATTATGATTGGCAGCTGTCATTTGGAATTTTTCAGGCGTAATTGCTTTATTGTGATTGGACAATAATGCGTGAGAAACTGAATCGTCATAGGCGTTGCATTTTAGATGTCGACCGTCGGCTACAATGTGGGGTTTCATTTCACCAGCACTGAAGAACATTTTCCAAGCGTCCCGTGCTTCGCGTAGCAACATACACCGACTTGTGAAAAAACACCAAGATTGGAAAACATTTCCGCAGCAAAATACGAACTCGAAAGTTGGCAAACTAGTTCGGAAGAAAAACTGGGAATAAATCCACGTGACTGAAAAGGAAATAAGAACAAATGTCATCGTGACGAGGTTGAGTCGGTTCGATTCCAGGAAAGCCCGTTCGTGGGAGGGGTAGTTGACTTGTTGCACCTGGAATTGGTTGGATTGTTGCTTGGACTGCGACTGGACCAACTTCAAAGCAATCAGATGGAAGCCGATGCCGACTAGTATTATGACGGAACATGGTAGAACTAGGGCGCCGTAGTAGGTCGTCTCAAGGTCAGGGGTCAAACGACAGCTAAAGTAGAAGGGACAATTTGAGGTATGCGAAATAACAAAAAATACGTGAGTTACTTAAATAAAATTTCAATCGCCATCGGAGAAAATACAGGTATTTAAAAGTACTGCATTTTGTTTTCTTTTTGAAATTGTTTTGTGATATTTTCTCAATTGATTTTGGCGCTTTTAATTAATTTCAAAATAATTATGAATTCGAACTTGACATTCAGTAAAACTTCAAGAAAACATGATAATTTTAGTTGTTCTGAGATTGGAAACTGAGTTTATTTAATAAAGAGTAACACATGCTTTCATTGAAACAAAACAGTTTTGGTGTTCGAAACTTAAACTATTTTTCGGCAAAATTTTAATAATGAATTCATTATCACAAAAAGAATCCAATTAGGGGAGTTAATTTAATACTTGGATGGTTTGAATCAAAGAAGAAGCGGTTTGATTAGAAAAACGCGGCTGCAAAAATTAGAAGTATAAAAATGCATTGGTGTGATAAGTAAAGCTTTTTTAGAGTTCACCTTAAAACATTGTCAAAATACAGTTGGAAAAGTATTTATGAGCTTAGGGAAAGTGAAAATTAGAATTATTGAAAGCTTTCAACGTTCAAACATCAGAGAGAAGAATATATATAATTTTAAAAGTCGCTGTTATAAATCTGTTATATTTTTTGATGTATTTTGCTCTATCTTTTTGATATTTTGAGGTATAAAAATAACTTACTAAATATCTCGTATGTCGTAGTTTCCTTGTTTGATTATAATGGTTGGCGTCGTGATGATTAGTGGCATACCTAAAACAGGAGAGAATAATCATAAATAGCAACCTCTCATTGTTGACGGTATTGGATCGAGCTTTTAATTATCAATAAGTCTAAACAAATAATTGACAATTGTTTGAGCCAAAGTTATGCTACATTCGTACAATTGCACTTTAAAAATCTCATCCAAAAAAAACATTTCGAGATTGACGATGTTACCCAAAACCAGGACCAAAAACATCTGAGTCTTATGGAATAAGAAAAAGATATTCTAATGATAAAAGGATCGAATGCTCACAAATTTTCAAGCAATCAATTAAGTTCAAACTGTTCAAAACTGACCCGATTTCCACCTGATTTATTCAAATTTTGAGTACTGAGTTCTGATCTTATAAGTTAAAATTCGGGGATTCGGTCCTTCTGGCATGAAAGATTCCCCCTGAAAAAAAGGAGAAATCCCTCATACAAGAAGGACCCAACTGGTTTAAAGGAAATGAACTATTTAAAGGACAATGAGTGGCGGAGAAATTCAGTGTGTTTGGTCCTTGTGAGAGGTAGGATTACATCATAAAGATTGATGACTTACCCCAAGCGAACAGTGCACATTTGATGAATAGCGAAGTGGACACTTGGTTCGCATCGTGGACTCCAGCGGCGGCAGCCATGACACTCATCTGGCTGGAGGGGACCATGACCATGCCCCCACCTGCAGATGAGCCTCCCATCACCACGTTCCCATTCACACCACCCCCACCCCCGTGGGGAGAAGGGGATGGAGAGGAGAGGACTAGAGGACGGGAGACCTACGGAGACGAAATTTGATAATTTATAGCAAAATGATACTAATTTTTACTTTTTTCTGTCAAGATTTTCTGAGTTCCGAAATGTTATATTTAGAAAATGTAAATAGAAATCGAAAGCAACCAGTAGATCCTCGAACGCTACAAAGTTTGTTACATAGTATTGATATAACAATATTATATTAAAAGTGTTTGTTAATAAAGGTTTTTGTTCTTTTTCTTGGAGCGTGCTTTTATTTTTACTTTTTATTCCACGCAAAATCAGGTACCACAAAAAATCATGATAACTGGTTAAGTGATATATCAGTAAACCTTTTTTCAAAAAATTAATCAGTAAAAAATCGGTTTGAAATTTTTGTTTTGCTTTTTATTCTAATTTCGAGCGAATAACGCGAGCAAAAAACATTTTTTGGTAAAACTCGGTTAACCAGGCCGTAGAAAACTCAATTTTACTCCAGGAAAAAAAAAATTTCATAGCTTCACATAGGCGCTTTGCTGTCAATGGGTTTTCAACTAAAAACAACCAAAAAGTAGAAAAAAAACAGTCAAAAAAAACTTTTTTATGAATCAGTTTTTGACAAAAAATGTAATCGGTTATAATTAATTTACAAAATTCTTAGGTTTTCCTTCTTCCTCTCATCACACGGCGCTCAAAAACAGCGCAAATTTGTGAAAAAAAATGTTTTTGTTAATTTTTTATATAAATATGGTCGGAACTTTCTGTGCTACTTGCAAAAGCAACCAGGTGTATTTTCTTTAAGGAGCCTTTCTTATATAACAGCATCATTTGAGATTATGTAAGAATAGCTCACATTGTTGTATGAGAAGAGGGCGTCGACTACATGCCACATGACAGATGCCAGCAGGAAGAAGTGAAGAGCCACGCCCACTGCATTGCACAGGTGCTGGTCCTAACACAACACACACACACAAAGAATTATAATCTCATGAAATTTAACCCTCCTTCAAATTTGATTTTTAATTTTAAGCTCGATGTGAAAATAAGTTTCTTAGTTTCATATCCCCCTGAGACAGGAAAATGCAGGACAGGCGACGAGGAGAGGGAGTAACATACATTTATTGGGGGGGGGGGGGGGGTGGTAGGGGGGTAAGTATAGAGAGTGAGTAGGGTGGTGGGGGTTGCTTACTTGGAATCGGGTGCGCACGGCGGCTGCCAGGAATGATATGTTGAGGAGGAGTAGTGCAGCTGCCAGACTGAGTACCACATTGCCACTGGCCTCACGACGCAGAGACCTGCAGTGTGAACAAAGTCATATTCAGTTGTTATCATATGCTATATCGCATTCAGCTTAAAGATAAGATCGCATTAAGTTTGAGGGTAAGATCGCATTCAGTTTAAAGATAAGATCGCATTCAGTTTAAAGATAAGATCGCATTCAGTTTAAAGATAAGATCGCATTCAGTTTGAGGGTTAGATCGCATTCAGTTTAAAGATAAGATCGCATTCAGTTTATAGACAAGATCGTATTCAGTTTTAAGATTAGATAGATATTCAATTCAGTTAGAAACCAATAAGAATCGCTCACATGGTTATATATGTCAATGAAGGCATTTTAGCCAAACAAGAGTGGAAAAAAATTGTGAAACTAGGCCTATCCTATTGTCAGCGAGGTTTTTTTTCTTGTTCATCCTTTTTCCGACTGAAATAGTTTTTCCGACTCAATTAAATATAATTTTTTTGTAGTTTTTTTGTTTAAATTTTTTTATTTAGCAATATTCAATAAGATTACCCGAATAGGCAGTAGGTGATGATGGTGAGGGTGTATGCAATGATGGCCAGTCCAGTGCCCACGAAGGGCAGGATGGAGGGGGCAACTTCTCCCTCCAGCCCCGACCCACTCATCACACGCTACAACAAACAACATCACAACATCAGGAGACAATTATTTATTTCATCACCCTAAATAACATGATACCAACGAAAGGCCAATGGAAGGCAGCACATTCTCGATAGATGCTCACAAAATCTGACATGTTTGGCAATTTAGACCAGGGGCGGATCTAGGATTTTCTCGAGGGGGGGGCGGATTTTCAAAAAATTTTCCAAAATTTTGACGACCTTTTTTTTTTTTAGGTCGACCAAATAGATTTTTATTTTTCGCGCTCTCCCAAAGCACTGTTTTGCCCCGATTTTGGCTAAATTTTCTGTTTTTGGGCACTTTTTGAAAAATTTTGACAAAAAAAAATGCGTTTTTTTGGCGCGCGCTCCCCCTCAAAAATAGCATATATTGGCGCCAAAGGCGCCTTTAGAAAAATTTTAGGGTCGGTCGGCCAAAAATGAATTTCTGAAAAAGTATCAAAGGGGGGACCCTTTGGGTCGGCAGGGGGTCAAATCCCTGAGGGGAACAACAATTCAAGTCGGAACAACAATTCTCCATGCCAATTTTTGAAGAAAAATTGATGCAAAATTTGTCGTTGATTTTATCTACAGTAGACTGTAAATATTGAGTGTTTATCAGAAATGAGTGCTGTTTTATTTCATATCATTGATAGAGTCAACTAAACATCTTCAGAGCACAAATAAAAATACTTCAAACAACACAATACAGATGCGAATATATTACAAAAGAAGCAATGAGACTGTAAAAAAATGGAAACTAGACGATTGAGCTCACCATGAATAAAGTGAATGTGGTCAAATGTGATGATTGGCAAGTGGTTCCGTTTCTACCGTACGCTCTTGTCACCAGTCCCGTTTGAGACCAATAGCGAGCTAAATACAAACAACTACACTCTTTTTTTGATTGATGCTTAAAAATTCTAATTTAACTTTTTTTTTCATGATAAAAGGCAAAGATTTGAAATAGTAATAGAAATATTGGATTATTGTCAATCAAAAGAAAGAAAAAAGCAAAATTTAGCTGATAATTTTCATGTCGATAAGCACTTAACTCAATTTTTTATCGGAAATTCCGGAAATGTCCATTTGTATAATAGAACAGAATATTCAGAAATTACCTAATATATTTTGCAATTTGGAATTTCAGATTTCCAGACACCTTAAGGTAAGTCTCAAAAAATAAAATAAAATGCTTACCGTCTTCCTTCCAAAATACGCACAGAGGCTCCGCTTTCTGAAACAGAAAATAAACAATAGAATTATAATCGAATTATAATCAGCTATTCAATTCAAAGCTCTATGCTTCTTGCTTGTAAAGCGAATTCAATTTCCAATTTCTCCGCCTTCCAGAAGAAAAAAAAACGGTTCAAATTTTCAATTTATTTTTCAGAGCGATTTAAACATAGGTACGAATATACAAACAAGAAAATAAAACACGATACTAAAGCGGATATATTACAAAAAAGCACCGCGACGGTTAAAAATGGAAACTAGACGTTTAAAATATGTTTTAAGACGTCTGTTTTTTTCCCTATTTTAATCACGTTCCAATCATGAACAAATTTACATTTCAGTCTCGTCTAATCGTTTCAAATAGCAAATAATAAGTAACTCTTTAACTTTGAAGAATTTCATTAAAACTGGTCAGAAAAACGCGTCACTGTTTTTTCCATGGGCCAGAAAAAAAGCAGGTGAATTGCAAGCGAAACGTCAAAAAGCAATGCATAAATTGTCAATAAAAGATTTGAATCTGCTGTATCAAAGAAAGTAGGATTGTTTTTAAATCTGATGCCGCCAATACAATTCTAGTCTGGAATCGGGGTATGAATTTCATTAAGCATACAATTCTAGTCTGGAATCGGGGTATGAATTTCATTAAGCATTAAGTTAAGAGTAAAAATCAGTTTTATTCTTAGATAATTAATTTCATATACTTCGTTTTAAATCACCTGAGAAAAAATCATTAGTCGAAAAATCTAATTTAGAAAAAAAACTAAGAATTAACATTTTCCCATTTTAAGGAGTTAAGATATTTTTAGTTCAGAAAGCATTTACAGAAGTATTGCAAGTGTTTTGAATAAACTGAGTCAATCAAATCGAACAACCTAAAAATAAAAATGCTGACGCAAACCTATCCGCGGTCAATATATAAATCAAAATACAAGAGTAAAAAAGACTAGTTAAATAATCAATCCGAGTTACCTGATCAGCGGTGTTTGGAAAAGTGATTTCAACCGAGTTCTTCGATTTCAAATCCCGCACAGTCGATTTTCCGTCTAAATTCACAGAAACAACTCGTCCAGACTCTGGGAAAAATAACCCATCCAGAGAATTCGAAGACCCAGGCACAATAGTCGCTCCCGCGGGGTTGAAAAAATAGTCCCTTTTGTAGATTATAATTTGCAACCTGTGAGTTCTTTGTTGTTTTGGTGGCGATAATTTAACTTGTCGACGAACAATTTCGTGGCTATTTTTGACGGAATTTTGGTAGGATTTTTTGTCTGCAATATCCTCGCTGTTTGTATTGCCATCTTTCGTAATATCCGGGGTAGTCTTTTTATTTCCAGTTTTATCTTCACTAATAATAAACTGCTGGTATTGAGTTATAACTTGATTGAAGTTATCATCGGTCGCTTCTGTCTTCGAGAAAATTGTACTGGATAAATTAGGATTTTGGAAGGAATTGAGTTGCCGGGTTTCACGGGTGTGTAATTTTGGTAGCCCTGATGATGATGATAATGGCGATGGCAATGGAGGGCTCCAAAAAGCTTCTCGCTTTGAAATCTGGCTTTTTCCGCTGGATTGTTTCTGGGAGTAGGGCTGAAATTGGCTGGAGGGTGAACTGCCGGAGCGTGACTTGAAAACTTCAGCGGGAACACGCACTGAGATTAGTCCCTAAAGACAGAGCACAAAATTAACGAAAGTAACCAAAAGTAAACAATACAGAGCAAAAATAGTAAAAACGAGTTGCAATTCAACTGACTTTGACGTTAATCCATAAATAATCTTTTTATCTGGAAAAAATAATAAGACATTTGCATTATCAACGGCTGATTAATGTTATCAACAGGTTGTAAAGTACCTCAAGTTATGCAAAAAAAAACTGTAAAAAAGGATTGATTGTACGAAACAAAAGAACAATGCACTATTTTCGATCAAATTTTGCCAAGTCAAGACTTTGCTTTTAGATTTGGATGAAAAAGCCTCTTGATTTTAGTCGCTTTTTAAATTAAGTTACAGAAGATAGCGAAAACCGGAGATGGTTGAATTATCTTGTTTGTTCACACTAATTGATCAAAGATACTCAAATTTCATCAAAGTTCTTCTTCGGTGGGTCAAAGAATAACAAAATCAGCGGCAAGTTTCTTTTGAGTTCAGACCATTTGATCAATGAAAATAGCCTTCAAAAATTAGAGTAACAAAAATAAAAACATCAATGCAGAAATGTTGAAAAGAAACAACCATCTTAAAAGTCCCTATGCTATTTGCAACCCAAAGAAGTAAAAACGACACCCAAAGAATGCAAACTGTCAAATTTTACGACTCTTGTGCCTTCAGGTAACATTTCGACAATTGAGCGCACCCAGGGAAAATTTTAATTCGATAATTTTTTTCCTCCTGATTTTTTCATAGCACGCAATCAAAATTAAAACGTACATTTTTTGGCGCAGCTCTCAAGCTTGTACGGTCGAAAAATAATATATCAGCTATAATTTAGAAGCCGCCCATGATGCGGCACAGTTTATAGGGTATTTTATCGAACTGTAACTTAAGCTGGACCAGTTTTTTTTGTTTTCCATTTAAAAGTTATTTTTAGTATTCCTAATGCAAACAACCATGCCTTAGAGGGGAAAAGACATGAATAAATTCCCCCATTTTCACTAAGACGCCAAGTTTGGTTTTATAACAAAGCTCACTTTTATGTCAAAAGGTCAATAAACTCAACTACAAATGAGTTTAATGTGTAAGAGGAACTTGTCTATGCAATTCAATACTATATGAAGCCTACAAGGACCCAATAACATGAGAATTATATTTTCAGTGGAACCCAGAAAAAAGTGATGATCAAATTCTTGGACTTAACGCTTCTTGTTTATTAAGTATCTTAGGAATTTGGTTTAAAATTTCACAAATCTAGAGAAAAAATTTTGTAATTCAGTTACCAAAGTAACCTAGCTCGGTTACTTATAGTTAGTAACCACCCAAAAATAAAGAAAACAGGTAGCATAGAATGTTCCGACTGTAGACTTAAAAATATACAAAAGTGTTAAAAAAGTAGTATCTTTTGTTTCTGCGAGGTGTGCTAAAAAACAAAAAAAATGAACAGAAAAAGGCATATTTGACATTCATAACAAAATAGGTCAAGTTGGAAAAAAGTTTTGTTGAAAATTGACTAGAGAATGAAAAAAAATGGTAAAAGCATTTAGAAAATTTTTAAGTTTTTTTGCAAAGTTTTTGAATTTATTGAAATTTTCAATTCCCGTTATGGCAATAAAAAACTCGAAAAATTAATTTCACTTGAGAAAAAATAAATTTTCACGGCTTAAAAACTAAAAAAAGCATAAACAAGCTATTGTAGTCTGGACGCTCACGGTATCAGCTCGAAATTAGAAAAGAAATCAAAAATTTCAAAGCGGTTTTTTCTCGTCGAAAGGAAAGTTAATTGGAATTATCAAAATGTCGATAAAATTATTGAATCACGACTGAAAGAGCTTTAAAAAATTATATCACTCAACCCAGAATGATTATTTTTGGTACTTGATTTTGCTGGGAAAACAAAAAATATGAAAAAACACACGGGAATAGACAGTTCATCCCCATTGTTCAATTAGTCGTAACAACAAGGAGAACCGGTTGCTGTGCAAAAAGCACAGAAAGCTCCGATCAATACATGAAAACATTTCTTTTTCTTCACATTAATAAAATTTGAAGAAGAACTATCATTTTTTTGTGCAGGGTGTCGAGAAAAAACTATACTAATGCGTAAGAATTAGGTGAAATAGGATAAACCAAAAATAATGTTTAAAAAAAAAGAAAAAAAAGAAATCATGAGAAAAATTTTCTAAAATTTAAAAAAAACCCTTTTGCACAATTACTTATAAATTTTGATTGGCAAGGAAGCGATAGACGAAGCTCCTTAAACTAGTTTTCCTTTAAGTGAAATAAAACTCTCCCAGACTAAACGAGCCAATTTCATATACGAAAATTGAAACTTTTCATAATTGTTTTTTTTTTCACTTATGGGTCTTCATGGACAGCAGTAGTATTTGAAATGAAGCTTATTTTGAAAAAAAAAAGTTTTAAAAATCTGTCTTCCACTGAAAATCATTTTGAGAAGCGTTATTACTAAGATCAGTTCATCTCAAAACTGTTTTTTTTCCGGAAAATTGTGTATAGAACCAGAACCACAACTGAAAGTTACTTATTTTGATAAGACACTTGACCCCCTACGAACTTGCCTTGAAGTAGTCAAAAATCCAGTGAAAAAATTAGCCTGCGCCATTGTTACTTCCCACATCACAAGAATGTTTGGAACAAATTAATGAGCTCGAAAAAAAACTATGTCACAAAAAATACTTACCAACTATCTTTCAAACTAAATTGAGAATGGAACTGCTCTATATAACTCCAGGAAAATTAAAAATAATTTCATGCCAAAGGAGGATTAACCAATTTTAACCATTGTACAATTGTAATAGTGCGGTCATTTTTTATTATTTCGGTGACCCAAATTGGGTGTTATTTCTACTTGGAATCAATAAATGTCGATAAAACCATAAATAACTGTTTACAGCCACAATAACGCTAAATTTACAAAGAAAAAATAGCGATGATTTTTATTTCTTCTCACAAGACGGCCAACATCAAATAAATAATATACATCTCTTATAAACAACAAACAAATCTTTTGTTCTTTTTGATGAAAAAGAAATGAATGAATTTTGGTAAATTTGGTTAAAATTGGTTCAAGTGTTGGTATGCTATCTAATCAGTGGAAAAGGATTACGGCAGCAAATTTCAGCCTCCCAATCTGCAGAATAACAGGTAAAACAGGTAATAATTAGTGTATAGCTTAAAGCCAAACAAAGAAAACACACGTGCCTTGAAAAAATAAGAGGATTAAACCTGCCTCAAAAATTCTCAGATATATTTTTTATTTTTGCAAAAAGCGGGAATTATAAAGGTGCCATAGAAGCAAAATGAACAAAACAGCACCTTGTGTGCATAAAATATAGCGTGTAATCTAAGAGAGCAAACGGTCTATTCTCTAAACAGTTTGCTGACATATATATATTTTTGAAAAAATATATGGAAGAGAAAACAAGCCCATTGCAGTTTGCGTTAACGACACAAGGGCAAAATATATGGAGTGAAAATGAGAAATTTCTCTTCTTTCCGCTGACAAATTGGGCTCTAAAGTCACCTATGATGTGTTCATCTTAAATCAGCTATTTTGTATTTTTATATCAACATTTTTTCACGAAATCGAAGATTTGTGTATCAGAATACTTAGCCGAAAATTGTGAGATAGTGAGATTCGAACAAAAATCTAGCAAAGAATTTTTGAAATCAAGTTGGAAAACGAATGAATTTTTTAAATTGCAGTTAAAAAGGTATTAATTTCAATAAAATTTCAAAAAACTTGATTTAACCGGATTGAAAAGAGTTAACAAGACCCGCTTGGCAGAAAATGCTAATTATACAAATAATTTGATGCTATGCCCCATAAACATAAAACCTTTAAAAAAATTATATGAAATTGTAACTAGCATTTTTCCATACTATGGAATTGTATGACTTTCATTTTCTCATAGAGCCCATATTAGTAATAATAAAAGAAACTTCCTATTTTTAGAGGTCGACCTGGTTGCTTAGAAAGAAGGTTTTCGGCTTACGCACCGTTTGGGTTTATTAAAGTGAGATATGACATTGACGAATTTTCCCCTATAGTTTTACGTCATCAAGCGCCTCCAATTTTGTCTTCTCCTGACTTGGTTATAAACACAACTAGGGACTGTTAGAAGACAGAAAAAGATATCAACTATCTGATAATTAGACCGCCATAAAACAGACAGTGTTTTTTTTCACGATCTATAAAAAACTTCCTTGTAAAGATTAACTACTCTTAAAAATAAATACTTCAACAGCTTAGCATGAGCGAATATTGCAATTAGTAAGGGAATTCTCGCTTTTCAGATGAGATGATGTGGATTGGGGGGTGGGGGTTGGGTTGATATATTTTGAAAGATTCATGAAACAAAAAAAACTAAAATCATCTAAAATTGGGAAAAAATTAATTGTTACACGACCAGAGTAAAAAAACTCATCGAAAATCAGAAAAACAAGGTTTTATTTGAAATATTTGTAAAAATAATAATCCAACCCCATTTTTGCTGAAGTAATACCCTTTTGATGGCATGTTTACTATTTTAGTAGGTTCCGTAAAATTTGGATGGTTCCCTGAAGAAATGAGAAATTAAAGTACTCACTTGAAATTTTTCAAAATTTATTGAGTTAGTTAAAATAAATAATAGCAATTTCAACTTTCTGTCTAACGGATGTGAATAATATTTCCTACTTTGCTTTTAGGAATGACCTCCTTATCAACCCTTTACCCTTATTTATGGTCCCAATAAAGAATTCGATGCTTTTAACTTACCCAGTGTAAAACTGTGTTCTGATTTGTAAAAATGTAGGCAAAAATATTATAAAAATAGGTTTGAATTTTCGATTAAAGATGTTTTCGGCAATGAGTTGCACAACTATATAAAAATATAGCCATTTTTTTCTAGAAATAAAAGTAGTCAAATGTTTGAATAATCTTTAAACGGAAAAGAGCAGTTCGGAAATTGGGAGGTTGAAAGAATTGAAGGGAAATTGACCGGAGGAAAAAG